TAAGGGGACAAGCCCATATGATTACAGTCAAGTAACTGAAAAAGAACTCTGTTACTGAACGATGTATTTATTGTAGCCCATCCTAATTCGCCAAGACAAGAGTTACATGATAACAACTTCAATCAATTAATATCAGAAGTCATAAGAGCCCTCGCTGCAGTTTTAATTTCAAAGATGTCAAATTACTGGTTACGTTCAGCTGAGCAAGTTGTTGCCTAAAACCTCTATGGTCCCGTGCATATCAGTCTTTCCGGTTCCGGGAAAACAGGTGTTTTTTTTTTAAGCCACATATGGAACTCTTCAGAAAAAGTAACTAATGTCCAGATGACGTTTAATGGTGTCAATTTAAATTCATTTTGAGCAATATTAATAACAATATTAGGAACGACAAAAAACTGGCAGATGTTGTCCTTCCACACACCTAAATTGTCTTCAATTCTAGACTTGAAATTTGTCCGATTTCACTTTCTCCATTATATCAAATCAATTGTTAGGTCTTCTGCTTGGAAAGTCAGTTCACTCGATCCTGCTAGACATTTTTTTCTCTCCAGAATCTATCTTGCATATTTATTAGTCTACTATTCGTCTGTGCATTATTATAAAATGAACTTAGAATTTTTTTTTTTTTACCTATATAAACGTGTCTATTATAAATACTGACATCCATACTCGACATATTTTTACAGATAAGTTCAGTGTTAAAAATGCATTTCTATGATATTTTTGTTTCAAATCGTATTAAACTTGAAATCTGTTAAAAAAAAAAAAATTTCCGAAACCTTGTGGAATATTAATTTTAATTTTTTTTTTTTTTTTTTTTTTTTTTTTTTTTTTTAAGAGAATTACATTTTGGCTTCAAAAAAAAAAGGCGGGGCGGTGAAATCAACAATTTCAGTAATTAAAAAAAAAAAAAAAAAAAAACTCCAGTCAATTATATTGCTTTTCAAACAGAAAAAAGTATTTTGTCTAATATGAAATATTAAAATGAATCTATTAGCTTGAAATTAAAACTAAAATAAAAGCTTCAAAAATGATTTTTTTTTTTTTTTTTTTTAAAAAAAATCATTTTAAACCTTATGTCACGCGAATCTAGTGGTATGCTATGATTTTCAAGCGTAGCTAAGATGTAGCAGAAGGTCGAAAGTAGGTGGAACCCAGTGAGGATCGAACTCACTACTCAGTCGTAATTGTCCTAACGAAACGAGCTTGCTATTACATCGCGTCCAGGTACTCAAAAGGCACTTAGGGTAAAATTCAAGGATATATACTATTATTTATAACATTAAGTGATTCATTTATTTTATTTTCTGAGCTTAAAGTAGTTTAATTTTATCAATTATTATAAAAGTATTTTCTGCGAAATCAATGAATTCTTTTACTTAAGAATTTTATTACAAAGTTAATCATAACTTTTTAAAATGAAATATTTAAAAATATTTTCTTCCAATGTACCTAAAATGCCAGACAATTCCATACATTTCTGCAATATAGTTGTTATGCGTTTTTATAGTCTTTCACTCGGTAATCTCCCCCCCCCCCAGCGTCATAGTCGTTTTATAGCCTCCCTTGGTTTTTTTGGCCATCGAAATCAGGAGTGGATAAAGAGCTCAAAGTTCTTTTTAACTCTAGTTGTCTTAGTAATCAATAACTGGATGTTGGCAATGCAATGCGCTAGACTCACCTTTTTCTCTGTGGGGCCTGCACACCTTTTTCTCTGTGGGGCCTGCACACCTTTTTCTCTGTGGGGCCTGCACACCTTTTTTCTCCACCTTTTTTTCTGTGGGGCCTGCACACCTTTTTCTCTGTGGGGCCTGCACACCTTTTTCTCTGTGGGGCCTGCACACCTTTTTCTCTGTGGGGCCTGCACACCTTTTTCTCTGTGGGGCCTGCACACCTTTTTCTCTGTGGGGCCTGCACACCTTTTTCTCTGTGGGGCCTGCACACCTTTCTCTCTGGGCTTCAAAATTCGGGCTAATCTGTTTGCCTTTACTTAGGGTTGGAATCAAACTGTTATTTGATACCTTTCGTAAGCCAGAACTTTATCCTGAGATTCCTACTCTGCAGAAGAACCTCTTTCATTGCACTAAAGAGGGAGGTTTGGTAGATTCCGGTGCAAACGTGTTGCTGGGATTGCTTGCCCAAAAATGCGTGGGGGGGGGGGGCAGACTGTTTGCTATCCAGAGTTAGAGAACTCTCTAGTAGATTGTCAATTCCGAATTCACAATCAGCCTGGAGAGGGGTTGGTTCACTCTTGCCCGAGACCCACTGCTGCTATGGCTACAGTATATGTAGTGTATCTACGACAGTAATGTTTCAAGTCAAGGGACTAAGGAAGATAAAATCTTATGAGTTCGCAATATTATTGGTCCTGACCGGGCATCATAATTTGTTACTTTCCCACTGACGTAACGTAGCTTCCCGGTGACTTTTTCTATAAATATTTTTATGCCAATTGTTCTGATGAATTTTCCACTTCGATACCTAAACTCTCTATGTATTCAAGTGCAATACTAGATTGGCAGCAAATCTCATTTTATAGTCGAAATGGCAAGAGGTAACCATAAGTTCTATGCTAAGTTTCTTCTCGCACTTCTCGCTTGTGGAGCTCTCTTCTGGTTTCTTGCTTTCCTGTAAAGTTAGATCTTCAAAAATTTGAATGCAATTTTAATCTTTCTTCTGTCTTCTTGTTAATTTAGTATTTGCTCTCATTGTTTTTCTTATATTTTACACTCGGTAACGCCCTGCGTCTTAGTGGCTATGTTGCCTTGGTTGGGGGTGAAATGATAAAATGTTCTCATGATGGCAATTTTCTTCCAATGTTTTTGCTTTTGATAGTGTGGAAACCTAACATCTTGATTATCATTTTATCGTATAATTACGTGCTAGGCATTTCTGTTGCTGCGTTTGGTTTGGAGACTGACGTCACAAAGGTCTTTACTCAATAGTTTTTCGTGTGATTTTTTTTTTTTTTTTTTTTTTAGCCAATCTATAGTCTAGTGGGGGGACTGTTTTAATGGTATTTCCTGGTGCAATCTCGAAAAGATTGCCGAAGGTGTGAGAATTGTTTGCACTTTAATATAGAGCATTGAAAAAGTTTGACACAAGGTCATGAAAATAAAGTACTCACATCAGTTGTAAGGGTCCTCAAGATTAGCTTCTTAATAAGCTCCGAGACGAGGCAATGAGAATTGTCGTTTTGCTGAAAAAAAAAAAAAAAAAAAAAAAAAACTTGAAGTGCGAGTGGCCTTACGGTCCGAACAATTAGTTTCGGCAACGATAATAGTTACCTTCAACTGGTAATCATTAGCGCTGACGATAAACAGCCATTTCTACCTGTTGGGCAAACTACACCTTTAGCTACGTATGGTACAAGGTCATCCGTGTTGAGCACTCTGAAAATCGACCTAAAGGCAGTAATGATGTATTAACCAACCTTTAGTCTACAATAAGGTTTAGATCACATCTAGCAAAAGGCCAAAATTGTGGCTACTTATTGATGATTACTATAGTAATTTGCCTGCGAGAGTGGTTTAACACTTTTGTAACTAGGTGCTTCTAAATTACGCATTTTTATGTTAGTCTGGTGCAAGGCTGAGCGCTCAATGAATATCGAACTATTGCTAAATATACCGGCAAATCTATAATAACCAGATCTTTGTCTGGTAAAAGGCTATAACATGGGAGCACTAAATAAAGATCTAACTCACAACCCATAGTCAAGAGAAAAGTTGACAAATTCTTACTGATTATTTTCTATGGGACTTTGTGTGTGTTTGTTTTTTTTGGGTGGGGGGGTTGTTATAGATGCCGCCCCTCTCTGTCGCAGTGGAGCAGAAAATATAATGAAACGCAGCACGAATCGCGGGTACCACTTGTTTGATCTTTTACCCTCGGGGCGACGTTTTACATCCATTAGTTCTAGGACAAAGCACTTGAGGTACAGTTTTTATCCTTAGGCCCTACGTAAAATGAATGCGACCGCATGCTGACAATTTTAAACGTATTTACTTTTCATTCGATGCTGTTTGTTTCATCTCTGTATTTGCGTGTTATATATATATATATATATATATATGCGTGTGTGGGCAGCAATCCTTCTTTTATACAAATTTGATTAAAGACGATTGACAAGGTACTGCGATTAAGCTTTTTCATTTAATTTTTCGTGCGTCCATATAATTGTTACCTTTCCTGAGTATAGTGTGTAAAAATTGCTCAAATGTTCTGTATATCCGAGAGCTTTTGGCTATTCTTCAGTCATTATCAAGGATTGTTTTTTTATTTTTAGCTGAATGTATGGGTAGGTTATATAAATAGTTATAGGAACGTGTTTTTTTTCCCGAACACTGTCAGCACATCGTGAACATGTTCATAGTTACTTTTTCTCTTATTATTAATTCTTCCATTAGTTTTAGTCTTACATGTGGATGGGGGTGCGATTATATTTGTATTTTCTACAATCATGTTGCGGATGGTGTTTGGTCGTGTTTTTAAATGATTCCGAATTGAGCTATGGTCAGAGATGTAAAGTGAGTCTCCTTGATAGTCATGTAGTGGTATGACCAATATAATAAAAACAGTTTCCTAAGTGGCATGTGAATACATTTTCTGTAATTCCGAACTTGCTTGTGTGTATGTACGTCTGTACACTTACGGATGTGCACATGTATAGAATATTGCGTTTATTTCTTCTTTCCATAATTTTCTTCTCTCTTTATCTCATTCTTTTTCCTCTTTCGCTTATTTTTCATAATTATTTATAGTTTCTAAATTAATTTTTTATTATTATTAATCATTTTGCCTTAAGCAAGGTGATAATGCCACTGAGATGCAAGGAATTATTGAGAGTAAAACAGAATATTTTCCAGACAGGAAATATTCAGCATTCATTGACTAAAAATCAAAATTACCATTAGATACAGTAGAGTAATGGATAGCGGCTCGGATTGAGGAATCGGTAGAGCCGAGTTCGAATTCCAGTCGAATCCATCACATCCAAGCTTACAGCACCTGGTATTCCCAAGCGTTCACCCACCTAAGTACTAATCAGGCTCGACGTTGCTTAACTTCGGTGATCGTGAGGGAACCGGTGTTCTAACGCGATGTGGTCGTAATCTAGCATTTCGATGGATGGCCCAATGTGACAGTAAATAATGACCGTACCGGATTTGCTTATCAATCTTTTCAAGGTTATTTAAAGCCAGAATATATTTTTAGATTAGAAATTTTGAGAATGGTTTAATGATGTCATACTGATTAACCCATAGCTGGGGGAAGAGGTGGATTCTAGGTACTGTAACCTTTATATGCGGGTGGTGTAATAATGGTTCGGAATTGGAGATCGGAGAACAGTTCCAATTCCAGTCGGGTTTATTTTCACTTACGCACAAATACCATTTGGAAAATTATTAATTCACCTCCTCTAAATCTATTGGTTAATTAAAGACTTGTCCATAAAACATTATCACCAAAACATTCTTACAATCTCATTGTATTTTCTGGTTTTAAATGTTAAGCCGTAAAAAAAAATCAATCAAGCTTTGTAGTTCGATTACATGAATGTATATTTAATTTTTCGATTTTTTTATTTTATTTTTATTTTAATTTTATTTTCATTTTTTTTTTTTTTTTTTTTTTTTTAAGGTAAGAAATTGTCAATGTAATTACGCGCATCGTCTTTGGTTGTTATTGATGTTATTATAGATACGTTTCGGCCAAATACCCTCTGTCCATTTTCATGTCTATTTTATTTGGGGTGGGGGCGGAGAAAATATCTTGCATAAATAATATCAAGTATTGAAATCTGGTTTTAGCAGGAAGGCAGTCAAACGATTTAAAAATAACACAATCAGCACATTAACATATTCTAAAAAAAAAAAATATAAATAAAAAAAAATGGATACCTGAAGCTGGCCAGAGGGTACTTGGCCGAAAGGTTGTGTAAATCGAATGTCAATACAAGTTGATAATTTCTGAACTCAAAATAATAAAAAAGAATCACCAAAAAGCAGTAAGACCGCAACATAAACTTTTATCTAATGTTCACTCAATTCAAGAGCCACTCAAGGTTGAGTGCGAAAACCCAATCCTGAATAGGAATAAATGAACGAACCTCTATTCCTGCTCAAAACTAATGTCAAACCAGTCAAGAGTCGGTCAGATCGGTAGTCAAGTGGATAGTAGTTTGTTAATAAAATGTTGCAATCATTTGAATTCGATCGTTGGGTCAGAGAATGAGATCCTTATAATCTGATTAGGCAGAAACGAACATCAAACGACGTCACGTGGACAAAATTAATGCATGCATCAGCCTAAAATAGCTCATGTCTAATTGATCAAAATATCGTGTCTAGAAAAAAAAATGTCTAGATCAGTGAAAGATAACAATGGTTCGATGAAATTGTTTAATTTCTGTTTCTCATTGCAGCTACTCGGTCTGTCAGTCTACAGCCATTTAGTTAAAAGTTCGGATTGGAATTAAGTTACACGTTTGCGAAGTGATACAAAATAACTTTGCTCTGTTTATATATCGGAAAACCTGTCTTCAGATGCACTTGTGAATTTAGTTCCAAGTGCCTTTTTTTTTTTTTTCTTTTTAAGCAAAAACCAAATCTAAGTTTAATCTTTACAAAACACGATGTAAGGAGTAGTTAAAATGAGTGGACATCAATAAAGTTTTAATGTGGCTATAACGCCAATGATGTGATTAGGGAAGTTGCCTGAAATTTAGCAGTGAATTTTATCCGCCATTTTGAAATAATTTTACCCATATATCGATCAAACTATAAGGTTTGATCTCTAAAGGCCGATAATTTTTCAGCACCTTTTTAATTTTTTTTACAAATAAAACAATTTTAGTAAAAAAAAATACAGGCCTCTATTTTATCCTTTTTACAATTTTCGAAATTTTGTTAAATTGTCTTTAGTCGGCGTGGGGACTAAAGATTAGTGTAGTAAATTTTAGTTTGTTTTTTATCATTGATTTGGAAATTTTTGCAGAAAAATACTTGTTCTATTTTAATGAAAGGTTCAGGACTTATTCACAAATGAATTAAATTTTAGAAGTGTTTCTTTTTAGAAATTTTTAGTAAAAACACTTTACATTTGTTACCCACCACAACTTATATAATTTTATGAAATTTCCATAATTTTTTTTTTACCGCTTAATGAAATACGCAGAACCCATTGGAGAATTCAAATCAATTTTTTTTTTTTTTGTAATACAACACCCAGTTATGTAGATTAAATGCAATAAAACACAGCTTTTACTTGCTTTTATGAATAAGATATATTATGAACACTATTGTCTTTTTTTTTTTTTTTTTTTTAGCAATAATTCTTTATTTTTTAGATTTAATTTTTTCAATTTCTGTATTGACTTGTACCTGTCAGATGTTAAGTTAAAACTATATTTACTAATCATAAATAGAAAAGCTTGCTGCAATTCTTCGACCTCCAATATTTTAAAGAATTTGATTGTTTTATTTTTTTTGATTTTTTTTTTTTTTTTTTGTTTAAACTTGCCGACTTTTGTAAATACACATTATCAAAAAAATAAGAGCGATAACTATAATATACTTAAAGCCAGGGTACCTAAAATATAAATAGTAAATTATGGAGAATATCTTCCTAAATTTGTAACATCTTTTTAGTTAAAAATTATACAAAAAAAAGGCGCTCACGTTATATTCCTCAAGGAACTTTTATAGATATGTAGAAAAACAGGTATAGGTCAACATTTTAAATAAACACTGTTTTGAAAAATGCACTTGTGTGATATTTTAAACTAAAAGTAATATTTGTTTCAAATCACATCAAATTCGTTAATATTCCTCAGTTTCAGAAAAATATTTTATTTTTTAAAGATTTTAATTTTTAATGATTTTAATTTTTTTTTAATAAAGAATTAGCTTGTGATGAGAGATGGCTAAAAATGGCACTAAACTCAGATTTTTTTTTAATCGCTAAAAATCGTTATCTTTTAGTTAATTTAAGTTGATTTTGATATACAGCAAAGTATTTTGCTTATTGGAAATATTAAATCTGTTAGCTTGAAATTAAAACGAAAAGCTTCAAGAATTAAAAAAAAAAAATTAATTGTAAACGTTAGGTATCATATTTCTGTG